GAAAGGAGCAGAGCGGTAGACGAAAGGAGCAGAGCGGCAGCTGAAAGGAGCAGAGCAGTAGCTGAAAGGAGCAGAGCGGTAGACGAAAGGAGCAGAGCGGTAGACGAAAGGAGCAGAGCGGCAGCTGAAAGGAGCAGAGCGGTAGCTGAACGGAGCAGAGTGGCGGCTGAAAGGAGCAGAGTGGTAGCTGAAAGGAGCAGAGCGGCAGCTGAAAGGAGCAGAGCGGCAGCTGAAAGGAGCAGAGCGGCAGCTGAAAGGAGCAGAGCGGCAGCTGAAAGGAGCAGAGCGGTATCACCATAAGTTTTTATTCAACATTTTGTTTAAAAGGTGTAGAAGAAAATCTGAAGTCTTCTGTAACGAGGTTCAATCAGGCGCTCTGGACAGACGGTCTTTAGAACAAAGACTTGTTTTAAAGGATTCGGAGCAGATGGTCTCAGTTTTAAAGAGATTCTGGTCAACAGCCACCTTTAACACATGACTTGGTTTTACAGCAGAAGATGACATCATCAGCCTCTCGTTTTATTGACGTGAACCCTCAAGTTGCTCCACTGGTTGCTGAGTGAAGCTCTTGTTGTGTTTGTGTCCAGCCAAGGCCCGGTCCATCTCGCTCCCTCTGGAGCTGGAGGCTCAGATCAACAACGTTCTGTCCAGCTCCGCTCTGAATTCTCAGAGCCGCTCCAACCCCAACGCCAAGTCCCTGTCCCGCTCCACCAGACCCATGGCACCTAGCAACCCCTGGGACTACAAGAACATCATCGAGAAGCTGCAGGTATTTAGATCTCCTGCTCGGAGCATGTGTTGGAGACGATGCTCAGCTACTACCACACCGAACTTCAGCTCATTATCTGTAAATCTGACCGAGTTGGAGCCACTTCTGTTTTGAGTAAGGCATAGGTGGAAGAGAGTCTGGAGAGGTAGAGGTTTGTTCTGAAGACAAAAGGAATGTGTGAAGAAGCGAGACGTCAAACGGCTCACAGCATCAAATGTTTTCAAACGAAATTACTATATTTTTATTTTGGTAATTTTGACTTCAGACCCCAAATATTTGTTCTCCATCACAAGAAGATTAAAACAAAATAAAATATCTTCTTCTTTGAAAACTCGGTGACCGCTGAGAGCTAAAGTTGCCAGGACATTAGCTAAAATGAGCAAAACAATAAATAACAATGAACAAAGTATTTTGAAGGAAGTGAGAAGATCTTCATGCATTTGTAGAAATAAAACAGTTAAAGTAAATATTTGAAAAAGGATAAAAGTTGCAGCTTTAAAACAGCTGAAGCAGCTGAAGCAGCTGAAGTCCAGCTTGTGACGGTGCGCTTCCTTCAGGACATCATCAACACTCTGGAGGAGCGTCTGAAGCCGCTGGTGAACGCCGAGCTGTCCGTGTTGGTCGACGTCCTCCATCAGCCCGAGCTGCTCTTCCTGGAGGGAACAGACGCCCGGCAGCGCTGCGAGTCCGGAGGTTTCATCTCCAAGTGGGTCCTCTGAATCCGTGACGCGCCCATGAGCCGCCGACAGAGGCATGCTGAGAAATGAAGTGTGTGTGTGTGTGCAGGTTGATCCAGCACACGAAGGCTCTGATGTCCTCGGAGGAGAAGCTGTGCATCAAAGTCCTGAGGACGCTGCAGGAGATGCTCATCAGGACGCTGGACTTTGATGAAAAGGTCAGTGAGGTCACAGGCGAGGTCAAAGGTCAATAATGAGTCACTGGTATCAGACCAGCCCCGAACATTTCTTGCATGAATATCACGGCCACGTTTAAACAAAGCGACAGAGTCCGTGTCGGGGACGACTCTCAGCTGCCACCACACCCGTGTGTGTGACGTGTCAGCTGAGGCGGCCATCTTGAAGCGGGCTGCAGACGTTTGTCAGAGATTACATTTAATCAACGGCTGAATGAAGAACTGTCCACAGGTTCATGTGATATTTTGCTAACACACACATGGACGTTCCTTGATCAGCAGCCCTTCATGGCAGCAGATAATTGTATTTTTTACAGTTTATAAATAATTATGATTTATTTTTTAAAATAAAAGATTATCGGGTCAGAATGAATCTTCTCGTTTTGTTTCAGGGGATTTCTCTTCGTAAAGTTTTGCTGCAGAACTATTTGTTCCCGAACAAGAAGAACAACCAGAAGAACGACCTGGCTGAACTCGGAGCTGCAGGTAAGCAGCTTCTTTCTGACTCCGCCCACCTGAGTGGATCCAACACTTCCACACGAGATGTCTGACAGAGTTCAGCTCCAACACGATGATTATTATAAAACTAAAAGCTCCATCAGGACTGAATACGTGGTGCTGAAGCTTCAGAGAGCTTCACAGCTTCTGATTTAAACCAGCTGTCCGGCCCAAGTCTGCTGAGAACAATTCATCTTTAAAGACGTTTCATCGTGTCCTGTGTCAGGCGGCGAGCAGGAGCGGGACTGGGCTGCGGTGGCCGCCATTCAGTGCCGTCTGGACCGAGAAGGAGGAACAAAGCTGTTCACAGATCTGGTGATGAGCACCAAGAACGACAAGATCTTCCAGGAGAGCATCCAGCTGGCCATCTGTCTGCTGGAGGGAGGGAACACCGAGATCCAGGTGACTTAAGCCAGGTGGTCAGAGCAGAACCGAGCCGAGGTGTTCGGGGACTGGGACCCTGACTTGTGTCAGACTGGTAACGACCTTGTGTCTGTCTGCAGAACTCCTTCTACAAGCTGATGATGGGCGACAACAAGTCGGAGAAGTTCTTCAAAGTTCTTGACGACAGGATGAAGGAGGCTCAGATGGACATCAAGGCAACGGTTTCTGTGAACGTCAACGAGATGACCCACAAAGCCAACGAGAAGGAGCTGGAGCACGGTGAGCTCCAGCAGAACCTTGTTGAAGCGAGTCCTTGGGGTTTGGTCTGATCTGGTGACGTGTCGGCATGCACAATACTCACCGACGATTCCGTTACAGAGACACGAGCAGAAAAACAAGAACACGACTTGTTTATTTCCATAACTGTGTGTTTGTAAAGGTGGTTCCACAACACTGGTACTTCCTGGTTCAGGAGGTCACCCTCTGTTGGTCCAGGGTCAGTCCATCGCCACGGTAACCGGCGCCTCTGCCCTGCCGGTTCAGCCAGACGCCGAGCAGCAGGAGGTGGAGACGGAGATGGGCCCAGCCGTCACCATCATGAAGCCGATCCTGAGGTTCCTGCAGCTGCTGTGTGAGAACCACAACCAGGACCTGCAGGTTAGTTAGGTACCCGATAAACCACCAGGACCTGCAGGTTAGTTAGGTACCCGGTAAACCACCAGGACCTGCAGGTTAGTTAGGTACCCGGTAAACCAC